TTACCAAGTGAAGCCACTACTTTCAAGGAAATGAGGCAAATGCTAAGGTGGTTTTGCAGTTTTCAGAGACAGATAAATCAGGTTGTTCAGCCTTAAATAAATCGTGCTCAATAGTGATGGTCTATGCTAATGAAGGATGTTCTCTGAATCAAACGCTTGTTGATGTAGGTCTTTTAGAGTACACTGTTGACTTGATGCTGCCATTCCTATCACAAGAGTGGCATGTGTCATTATGGTTTAATCCAGATAGATTTCTTTGGGTCCATAAAGCAAGCCTCATTTCTTAATGTTCTTGATGTCTTTCAACCTCCAAAATACAAATAAATAAGAAGCAAGTAAATCCAGGATACCCCTAAGCACCACATGTGGGGGCAGAAGTTCTTTTTACATTTAGTTTTTAGGGTAATTGTTTAGGGTTGTAGTGTTAGTGTTCTCAAACAACGACTGGTCTGCTACAGGTAGAGTTCATTGCCATAGGATCTGGGTAGGAATGTATGTGGTGCTTCCCATTTCTTTCCTTCTGCTTGTGTATTCATGATGCTTATAGTTTTATAGAGCCCATGCCAGAGAGCAGAACATGGCATAGTCAAATTTTCAAATATCCATCTAATATAAAATGTCAATGCAAAGATGACTGCCATGTCCACCTAAGAGAATACTAGGCCATTTCCCTCTCCTCCAACACACACTCAGACACACTTCAGCCAACCAGCCACCTGCTGTGTAGAAAACATGGTGGACTTTCTTTTGTCTCTTTCCTCCCTTTGTCTAGCATAATGCTGCTCTGCTCCCATATCCAGAGTAAAGGCCAGTTCCTCTAAGATGCCTTCAGGAAAAATTAGAAGCTTCTTCCACTGGGATGAGTGCTTTCTGTCATATTTCTAAAGATGTGGTTCAGGGGTAAAGCACCTTGGGTTTTATCCCCTGTACCAAACACATGCATACACAGACACACACACAATCACAGATGTGTGGAGTACAATTATCCCAGCTAAGGAACTTGCAAAATAATAGAAGAAATAAAACATTTGCAAGGTTAGCTAAAGTAATAAGACATTGAGATAAAAGCCTTTAAAAACATAAAAACCAAGAGCTTTAGTATATTTTTTTCTATTATTCTCCTCTATTGTATATTCAATTTTACTGGTTTCTCATTAAAAAAAAAAAATGTGGGGCTGGGTTGTAGCTCAGTGGTCGGGCGCTTGCCTAGTACATGTGAGGCACTGGATTCTATCCTCAGCACCACATAAAAATAAATAAATAAAATAAAGGTATTGTCCCCTTCCACAACTAAAAATATATTTTTTAAATGTGTTCAAGTATCACTCGAATCATTGCTCAGGTATACTTTTTTTAACGAGGCCTACACTGAACACCCTATCTACCATTGCAAAGCATTCCTCTCTACTGTCAACTCCCTCACCTTCTGCTTTCTCATTTGTTTTACTCCACAGCACTCAACCTTTTTTTTTCTTACTATGTAATATAGCTATTATTGCTTATTGCTGGTCCCTCCCCTAGAATGTGACTCCATGTGGGCCATGATATGTTGGTCAATGACTATTCCTAGAACGAACGCCTGATTACTCACTTGATGGATAATCATTAAATGAGTTTATTAAGTGAATTAGGGATTAACAGTTATATATGAAGATTCTGGACAAATGGTCTGTGTTGAATACTGGTTCTAGCACTCTTGGCTATGTGAACTCTGATGGTTTAATTAAACCTTTCATTTCCCAGATGTACCTACTTACCAGGATTGTTGGGAGGATCAAAAGTAAAATGCATGTAAACTGTCAAATGTATAGGAAGAATGTAAGGTTGGTTTTTTTTTAAGTTGATGCCCTTCTTTCCTATGTACACATAAATCATCCTTGATTTCCTCATTTTAAAAAAGACAATACCTTACAGTGTTAGCACATCATGGTTTCTAAAATAATGCTTTCATACTTTGAGTTTAAATGGCTGAGAAATTAATAAAAATATGATTTTCAATCACTTTAACAAGAATAGAATAAATACATACCATCATTTTTGATTATGTACTGATTCTATGTGATTCATCTGAAAAGACATCCAATACATGCCATGCAGAGAGTCACTATGGCATAAACAAGAGTGGATTGACCATTGTCCTGAGTAATTAACCTATAAGATAAGTAATGGAATCATTTAATCATTCCATCAACATGTTGCCTACCTACCATGTAACTGTGTGCTAAACAACAGTGACAACATTTGGTCACATAGCTAGCAATAGATGCGGTTTCTCCTGCCGTGAGGCAGCAACTCTAATGTACAAAGAGGATCTAAGAATAGAAAAGGAGCCCATGAGTGAGAGGTGGGTGGATAGGATAATGATCTTTGAGTTAGCCCTCCTCTTTTAAAAAATACAGAAACAGAATTGGAACATGGGTTCTTGGGTTCTGCAATAAATATGTGATGTTCATTGAAGTTTGAAGGAAAAGGTGATCCAGAGACATTGGATATTTCCACATGGCTATCGGTGGATTACATATAAATCAATGGAATTCAGTTAGACATACTGGGGGGTTTCACTCTAATTCAAAATAATGTGATTAGGAGGATCTCAGAGTGCCTCCTTGGCACAGAGCTGGCCCTTTGGGTTAGTTATTGAGATAATTATGAAAGTTTGTGAGTAAACTTTATTAATAGTAATGTTTCATAAATATTCTTTAAAAGCAGACTGATGTGTATGTTACTTGTTATAGTCACAGTCTGTGATTTGCAGAAATAAATGATAATGTGGATGCATGCAGAGTACTCTTTGGTCTTGCTTCTTAAAAGAATCATTGCAGTCTCCTGCTCCCTCCAAGCCTTTGCCTTAGTTCTGAGTAGCTCCTTCACTAATCCAGAAATCTCTATGCTGGTCTCTATGCATGCTGGCAAGAAGAGCATGTCCTGCTTGCACATTCCCTTTCAGAGGTCCAGAGCTTTCCTGATGGCTTCCCATCCAGTTACTACATATTACTGTAATCCTGTACGACTTCTGAAACATCTTTTCTTCATTTCTTTTAATTCCTAAAGCAATTGATGTTTCTACCATGTAATTTACATTTAATTATACGTTGTTTCGCATGGTTTAATAGTTGGTTTGTGTATGCTTGTCTTGCCTTCTCAAGAAGATTAAAATAAAATTCCTTTCAGATCAAGAACTCACTGCACTGTATCAAGCATAGAAATGGGGTAAAGCACAGATATTGACCTCATCTCAAACTCATTTAACCATCTTGCCAGAAAAGAATCTATGCATCCCATTGCTCTGATCTGCCTACTTCACAGTAGATAGATAAACTGAGTTATTGGGAGTTTGTGAATGAAACAGTTAAACTTCCAGTGAGATTATAGTGGTTTATTTTTTATTGTCTTGTGAAAAGAAAGTGCTGTCTGACCAAAATATTTGGAAATGAAGGGTAAGGTTGCATAAAGAATTGTGCCACAGACTTAGAGCTGGAAATATTTCTGCTTTAGTCTGCTGAATTATTATGACTGTTCTTTGAAGTCTTTTTCCCTCTAAGCACAAATTCAAATGACATCTATCTCTGAGTTGCCCCTACATCTTTCAACTCTTAAGACATCAGCCTTTGATGTCTTCTTTTCATATCCCTTTATCTCTTAGGATGATTCTAAATATTCAGAGATAAAGTGGCATAACTAAATCTGAAGACTACAATGGTCCTCTTGAAACTGAATGTTATTTATCTTTTCCTTTATCTGTTCACTGACATATTTACTATTAACAGGAACCTTGGTATCATCACAAGGTAGTGGCTAAAGAAAAATAAATTTTGGCCATTCTGTTCATCAAGCATATTCCATCCTGTATTGCCAAATTTATGTGCTAATACCTTTGGTCTATGGATTTTTATAGAATATTTATCAAAATGGGATGAAATGCATTTTTTTGTACTAACTCAATTAATGATTTTGAATCACTGAGCCCAGTTATTCTAAGGATAAATAGTGAATTCAGAATGAAAGTTCGTTTCACTGGTGTCACTAAAATTTGCAAATATTTATGATTTCCTTTTTATATCCATTCAATTTGACCTCAAAATCAATAAATAAAACTACTTAAAACCTGATCAGTTTTCTTTTTTAAAAAAAATTAACTTTAGTAATAGCATCTACCATATAACCCAAATCTATAAATAATGCTGAGGAAAACAACACAAGTCTGAATATTTACACATAAAATATAATAAAATCAGAGTTTTTGGTAAAAGAACATTTGGAAATTTGGATGAAGTACTGTTTAATTGGTTTATTTTGACTCTAATACCAGCTTATGCAAGTAAAGAATTGCATTTATAGGGAGCAATTTGGCCTTGGTATTGAATATTTTTAAAAGTAAGTATTTGAATATGTTGTCAATATTAAAATATGAGATAACTTGATGGCTATCTGTCCATGATCTTGAGGCCCCAGGTTTTTATTTTGTTTTTCAGTTTACAATATTCTTTCAAATACCTAGTCCCTTTATTTCTATTATTCCCTCAGCTACTTCTTTCATTAATGTTTTGTTTTTAATCAGAATCACTACAAAAGAGCCACTAAAAATCCTGAAGAAAACAGAGGTAGTAAATAGTTTTTGCTATTTGGTTCTTGAACAATAGAAGCATCTTTTATGTTGTATAACATGTCATTTGAAGATTTGGCAACTCCATCTTTTCTTGTAGCTCCTTGGACATTTGTTCTAGATTGAGCTATCATCCTTTCACTCAAGAATACTAAGTTCTCACCTCTGCAGTTAATCAGCATAATAAAGCACTGATACCTGGCCATCTAGAGGAAGAAAGAACCTCTTTGATGGTCAAATGCTGGCCATGTTGGAATGCAACCAGTATACATTAATTAAATAAAAATAACACTTGTTTGTTATTATTTCTTTTATTTGTTCATCAGATATTATTGAGTAGCTTATTCATTCTTCTATGTTCTAAACGTGTGATCAGTTCTATTTTTATAATTTTTTTTACTTAACCAAGTATTGCTACTGGTATTACCTTTCTTTCCCATTGGGTTTTAGCAGAGTAGCATAATGACTGTGAGATTGGACTATGGAATCAGAGCCTATGTGATATCCAAATCTAGTGCTTTCTAGTTGTGTAACTTTAGGCAAGTTAATAAACTTCACTAAGCCTCACTTCATATTTATGATGCAGATAATAATCATACTTAACCTCCATTTTTCTGACAGGTAAATGAGAAAAACGGATACATCGTGTATTGCACTGGACTCAGCAAACAAAAAAGCACTCAGTAGATGTTGTTTGCTGTTGTTATTAAAGCACAGTTCTTGGTTAGTTGATTATTATAATCTTTTTCGCCATTTATTGAGCAAATACCTAGGAAGCACACTCAGAGTAAACTTGGACAGTGTGAGAGACACCACCATCTGCACTGTGTGTCATAAACAAAAGCCCTGAAACTGGGTCTGGCAATAGTGAGGGGAGCAGATGCTTTAAATGCCTTCTAGAATGTGTTTGTCACTGTGTCTAACTGCAATGAATGTCACTAATGTCATCTCTCTTTCTATTTTAGGTAAGTACATCCCATTTTTTGAAGCTTTTGCAGATGGGTAAGTCTTGCTGCTGGAGCTTTACATGTTGATTTTCATACTTGGAGAATCTGAACTGGACAGTGTACTTGTTGCAGTCAGATGTATGCCTTTATGATTTTCAAGCCAGGATCTGGAAAGAGGACAGAGCTTCGCATGTGCTTTCCATCTCTGTTTCAAATCTTTGGCAGGAAAAAAATGCATCCATTATTTTAAATTGCATAAAATGTTATGTTTCATCTAAATAATTGCAGCTTGGGTTTTTTTAATCTATCAGTAGAAGCAGGCAGAGTACTTAAAAGACTAGATTAGGAACTTTTTTTTTTCTTTCTGATAGAAATCATGAAAACCTCTCTCAAATAAATACACAGACCTTTGTTTTTCTGCT